GACAGAACAGAGCGTGGGCTGGGCCGGGGCCCTAGAACAGGGGATCATGTCAGCCGCTGCCCCTCGTGGGACCCCTGCGATGTGCTGGCTGGGACCTGATGTCTGTTGACCACTTGGCTATGCTCAGGGGGACTACTGTTCTGGGTTCACGTCCCGATAAATCCTCGGAGCCGCCCTGGGGCGGAGGCACTCTGCTCTTGATCTAGACGAGGACGCCGAGTGTCCGGCTTTCCTGGGTTGCTGTCACAAGCTGCCACAGATTTCATGGAGTGAAAACAGAGATGTGTATTTTTACAATTCTGGAGGGCAGAGGTCTAGAAGTCAGGCGCGGCTGCTTTTCTTCCAGAGGTACCAGGGGAGTATATTTCCCTTGACTTTTCCAGCTTCTAGAGGCCCCCGTGTCCCTCAGCTCGTGGCCTTTCCTCCATCTCCAGAGTGCAGCCTCCAACCTCTGCTCCCTCTCCCATCTCCTTCTTCTGCCTTTGACCTTCCTACTTCTCTCTCGTGAGGACCTTTGTGGGGACAGCGGGGCTGCCCGGAGAATCCAGGGTAATCACTGTAGCTCCAGATCCTTCCCCTAATCACATCTGCAGGGTCTTTTGCCATGTGGGGTAACATATGCCACATTCGGGGGATTAGGATGTGGACGTCTTTAGGCGCCAGGATTGTTTACCACATGGGCGGCACAGAGAGGTTAAGGTGTCCTCCCAAGGTCACACAGCTAGGGGGAGCTAGGATAGAGGCTCCCTTAGTCCCACGCCTATAAACTTGTACCCTCTCTCACTTCATCTCCACCGAGATTTGTAACTTGAGAACTAAGTACTCTCACGGGGACTGTGGGTGAGCCAGGTTCATTGGAAGGAGCCAGGTGGGGTAGATCCCCAGGACTCACTCCTGATAATGGACCTGGGATAGAAGCACCAGACCCAGCCACCCTCTGCCAGGGAGGCTCCAGATACCTGGAGGCAAAGCCAGGGTAAATGTCTCCAACAGAGGGGACAGCCAGTACAAAGGCAGGAATAAAGCAGGTAGAGGTGGAGAGGTGCGGGCAGAGAGGTGTGTGCTTAGAGGACGGTCGGCAATCAGAGGATTTTACAGACCACGCAGGAGCTCTGGGTTTCCTTCCAAAGGCCAGGAGCCTCAGGGGCGTTTGAGCCAGGAGTGACCCGGCCTGGCTGTGTGTTGACGGGATCCCTCTGGCTGCTGACTGGGGAAGAATAAACTGTGGGGTGACGTTGGCAGTGGGGGCCAGCTGATGCTCAGACCCGGGTGGGCATCGTGGAGGAGGGAAGGCAGTCCTGCATCCGCATGCAACGTCCGGCCTGCTGGCTTTGCAGGCCCCTGGAATGGAGAGGGTGGGGTGACGGCAGGCTGTGTGCCGAGAGCAGGCTCTTGCCTTTACGGAGCTGAGTACAATCGTAGGCAAACTGCCAAGTAAATGGGAACATCGAAGCGGGGAACGTTTCTGAGGTTGTCCCCCTGCTGCAATTGGCTCTTGATTAAGGTGGCCCGAGGAGGCTTCTCTGCACCTCAAAGAATGAAAGAGCCAGTGAGTGGGAGGAGAAGGGTTAGAAGGCGGGGCTAAGGGCCCCCAGCGGGTGGGAGGAGCCTGGGAAGAGAGGGAGCAGAGGCGGGGCTGAGGGTCCCCAGCCGGTGGGAGGAGCCTGGGAAGAGAGGAAGCAGAAGGCGGGGCTAAGGGTCCCCAGCCGGTGGGAGGAGCCTGGCTGCAGTGGGGAGAAGGGGCAGGCTGATGGGTGCCAAGACAGAGAGGTGGGGGCAGATCATGTGGGGCCAGGGCCACAGTGAGGGTTGGATTTATTTTTATTTTTATTTTGTCCAGTGGGGTTCATCAAACGGTGCCGAGCAGGGGACGGTCATTAGCAGAGAATGACAATTGTCAGCTCTTCATCAGTGAGCATTCATTGTGCCCACCACCTTGTAGTGACTCCCTGTTCCCCCACTTGGCACACCGTCTACCTTCCCGGTGGCCGAGGATTGCAGGGGGTGCCCCGTGATCCACAATCTAACTCCTTCTCCTTCTGCTGCTCGGACCCCTCCCAGCTCCTCTTGGAGCTCTGCCCAGCAAGGCTAACCTGGGCCTTCCCTGGAGCCTGAGGTGGGGCTAGCCTGGACACGGGCTCATCATTCAGTGGCTGTCCTTGTCTAATATCAGAGCAGAGGGGGGACCCGATGCCAGGGCAGCCGGGAGCAACAACCCAGTAGGACCCCATCTGTTCCTTCAGGCCCGCGTCTCCCTGTGCTCCCCGTGCAGCCCCTTCCCGAATGTCTGTCCGCTTCTCTCCAAGGCCTCACTGGCCTGCACAGTTGTCCCTGGTTGTGTGGCTCAAGCCAGTGCAGTTCTGCCGTCTGACTCTGATCCCTCCTTTGCCCTGTCCCCGTCTGATCAACTCTGCCCTCTCCGTTTCACCCTCACCTCCCCACCCATGATCAGAGACACCGACGGGACTGGGATGGAGCAGGTGCCATCCAGAGGGACCCAGAGCAAGAGCTGTGGACACTCAGAGGCCACTTCTAGCAGATACAGGCTTCCCTGCTGGGTCTAGAAACTTCAGTGGGATTGAATCAGGTTGGGGAAGAAATGTATCAGGAGAGGCACGGAGAAGAGGCAGTGTTGGCAGGCAGCGCCAGAGATCCGTCCACTCTGTGACTAGGGCTGGGCTCTGAGTAAGGCTCCAGGCTGGGCAGAGATGCTTAGATGACCAGATGACCAATGACAGAGGAAGGAGTCCTGCCCCAAGAGCTCACAGTCCCGTGAAGTGGCCGCATAGCCCTGCTGATGCCATATAGGAGGGTACCCCAGGCCATGCAGGCAGTAAGGGTGAGCCTTATATTTCTTTGGAGAGCATCTGGACAAGATGCACATAGAACAGGGCATTTGAGTAGGGGTTCTGAAGGATGTATAGGAGTTGGTAGGAAAGACAACTGGGAAAGGAGATTTCAGGGACAGAAAACAGTGAGAAAATATAAAAATAGCTACATGATTTTACTGAGCAGCTACTTGAGTCCCTCCCAGTTATTCCCTCCAGAGATCCCAGCATGCTTTGTTCTCCAGGCCAGGAAGTTGGGCTCAGACAGGCTCAGGGGCTTGCCTGAACTCTGCTCTGCTCTGCTGCCTGGAACGGCAGGGCAGGGCATTCATTTAAGCCGACCCTGACAGTGAGTTGTTCAGTGTGCTTACCTAGGGGCCTTGCTTGCTTCACCCTTTTCGAGGCCCTGGGGCCCTGGCGGAAAGGCCATTGGAGGATGGCTGGAGAAACAGGCCCATGAGGGCCCAGTTAGGAAAGAGCTTGTCAGCTACATGTAGGAGCCTGAATCTTGATCCTGTGGGCAGTGGGGGGGGACGGGGGGGGGACGGGAATTGACACGGAAGACGACCGTCTGCAACCTTTTGACAAAAAAATTCACAGAAATGTTTGAAAAGTAAAAAAGAACTTCTGGGTATAATTTTCTCACACCTGTCAGTATCCCTTTCCGTTCGTTGTGTGCGGCCCTGGTCTTACTGTGCTGAAAAAGCCATCAGAAATGCTCCTGAACAGCCAGAGCGGAGGTGACAGAGGGCCGTTCGGTGTTTCCGTCTCCAGCTATTGATTAGAGCATCCTCTGAGCCCTTGACCTTTGTGGTGTCTTGCTCCCGTGGCTCCGTGACATCCAGTGCAGAGGCTCCTCTGTGGTTTTGGTCCCCACCCACCAACCTTCCCTGCACCGCCTGCCAGATGCTCTACATGGTGCAGGGGCGAAGTGAGCTAGGCCGGCCGTGGGGGTTTAGGTGGAAGCTGGCCAGAGGAAACCTCCAGGGTGGGCCTGGGGGGCAAAGTTGGGGTGCAAGAGACAGACCACATTTTAGGTCTTTATAACTCATCTTTTGTTCTGACCCCTAGTGGCAGGAACCACATCTACCTGGGACAGGCGGGAGATGGGGGGGTCCCAAATGGGGGGGATACAGGGCTGGGACAGAGCTGGGAAGTAGGATGAGGGAATTTGAGGTTGGGAGGGGCTGGAAGGCGGGGCACGCTTGTGAGCCTCTTGGGGCATGTGATCGGCTCTCTGCTTCCCTATTTCAGAGCGGGGGACTCGGGGCCCAGTAGGAGGGGCAGCCTCTCAGCCGGTTTCCATGGGGACAGCTAGAAAGGTTGTCAAATGTTGAAGTCCTTCCAGACTAGCTGGTAAATAGCTGCCAGCCCACCCCTCCATCCCCTTCCCGGCTTCCTGGGCCCACCCCAGCCCAGCTCCTACGGAGCTAATGCTTGGTTAGCTTGGTTCGCTACGGTGATGCTTGGGTCATGTTTGGTCCCCACCCTGCACCAGGGCCACTGTGGGATCTGATTAGCCAGTGAGCGGGTTGGTGGGCAGCCTGGTGAGACGGCCAGCCACAGACTGAGCCCGGAAGAGCCGGTCCCGCTGTGTGGGAGCCTCCGTGTGTCGGGGAAGGCCCGGTTCTTCGGGGCAGCAGGGAGGGGACGCCGCCTGGGGAGCCGCTCACTGTGCACTCTGTCCCCAGTGGGATCGTCCGCTCGGGGCAGCGGGCTGTCACCTTCAGGAGCCACGTAAGCAAATTCCTGTGTGGAGCTCCTGGTCCGAGACAATAGGAGGTGGCTGGCGGGTGGCACATGGGACTCAAGCTCCATCTCTGGCGAGATTTGATTTTGCCACAATCCAGCAGGGCTCGGCCGCGAACGCCCAGTGCGGCATGGGCAGAGGCCCAGGGCCACAAGCAGTGCCCAGCCTCATCCGGGACACTGCCCAGCACGTGCAAGCATCTTAGGACACCCCGTGGTCCCGGTGTTCAGCATCCCCAGTAGGTGGCAGTAGGATACAGCGCAGCGAGTGCCACTCTGGGTTCAAATCCTCATCCGCCACTTTCTTCTCGCTCTGCGTCTTGGGCATGGTTTTTAGCCACCGATGCCTCAGTCTTCCCAGCTATGAAATGGGAATGATAGTGGTACTGACCAGATGTTTTTATCAGGCGGTTAGATGAGGTAATGCGCAGTAGGGCTCTGCACAGAATCCGGCTGAGAGTAAATGCTCAATAAACGTTGTTCCAGAAGCGGCTTCTTCCCTCCTCGGAGGGTCCGTTCAGGTGTCTAGTTACAGGTTTGATGAAAGAATGAAGGAAGGACCATCCAGCGAGAGCCCAGGATGGAAACAGAGTCGTCTGTTATTCTGGCCCGTGGGGGCGAGCAGCCCGGTGACGGCCGTCCATTCTCTGTCCCCACAGTGTTCGAAGAGCCCGAGGACCCCAGTAACCGCTCCTTCTTCTCGGAGATCATCTCCTCCGTGTCGGACGTGAAGTTCAGCCACAGTGGCCGGTACATGCTCACCCGGGATTATCTCACGGTCAAAGTCTGGGACCTGAACATGGAGGCGAGGCCCATAGAGACCTACCAGGTAGGTGCTGCAGCTCCTCCGGGGGGTGGGAGACCCCCCAGCCTCCTTTCCCTGTGCCCAGAATCCCCCCGGAGGGGACGTCCCCGGCCGCAGAGGTGGCTTTCATATGCCCGTATTGGAGGTGAAGACACTCTGGCTCAGGAAATCAGGCAGTCCGTCCCCAGCCCCCAGCTCGGCCGAGAGCAGAAGCACCTGCTCAGTCCTGCCTCGCGGGGTCAGTGGGTGCTCTCCGCTCACTGGCCTCTGTGATCCGGGGCCCAAGGGAACAAGGATGAGCGTCAGGCTCTGCCCAGTTCGAGGGTTCAGGTGACTAAGGGTGTGGACGCCGTCCCTCCTCGGAGCCGGGGTCTGCAGCCCAGGTTAAGGCAGGAGAAGAGCTGCCCTACTCCCAGGGAGCACCCTCCAGAGCGTGTGCGGGAGGCCGAGGCTGGGGGGGGGGAGGGGGGATACTATGTTTCTAGATCCTCAGGCACGGGCCTTGGAAGCCAGGCACTGAGGCTGAAGCAGGAGACCCCTCTCTGGAACGGTATTTACTTATCAGTTTTCTGTTATGATTCACCCAGCTCTGTTAGGGGTGGAAAACAAAATGTTAGAGTAAGACCTCACCAGAAGCCCCGGGCAAACCCTCACAGTGTCACCAAGTATTAGGTGCCCACAGGGGGTCACGCACTTATATTTGTCACCTCTGTTCCTTACTGTCCCCGCGAAGTGGGCACCATCAGCTCCACTTGGCAGGAAGGGATCCTGGGTGTCAAGAGGCCAGGACAAGTGGGACCTGCCCTCGCAGCTGGGCAGTGATGGATGCAGAGCCCTTGGGGCCCTCCAGCCCCTTCTCTGTCCTCCCTCCCTGCCGGGGCCTGGAGTAGGGGTGCCCCGGGAGGCAGGGGGGCCTCACTGGGAAGGGTGCAGAGCTGTGGGGAGAGATAGGGAGCTCAGTCTGGAGGCCATACGCCCACAAGGACTTCTGATCCCTTCAGACCCTTCCCTGAGCTTCTACCTCTTCCTGGGAAGGGCTCATGGAAGGGCCGTCATGGCTCCTGGTGGCAGCCCTGTTGCTAGCCACATGTCTACCAGAGGTCCTGCCCAGTCCCCCAGTTGTCACCTAGGCCCCTCTTCACACTGCCCACCCCAGGGGTGATCAGCCCCTCCTCTGACCCTCAGGAGATGGCAGAGGCTGGAGATTGGGGCAGACATGACACAGCCCTGGTTCAGGTGCAGGAGTGACCAGCCCCTCTTACAGCCAGCCCGGGAAATGACTCTCTCTAAGTCCACGGGGCCCTCAGGCTTCCGAGGCCCTGGAGTCAGTAAAGGCCCGAAGACCCTGAAACTAGGGGCTATGTTTAATACAGGCATTTTGCAGGGAGAGGGTCCATAGCCTCCAGAGATCTTCAGAGCATATGAGGACCTAATAAAGTGGAAGGAGACTGTTCTGGAGACAAGGCTGAGAGCCAGTGCTTGGCTTCTGGCCTGCTGGCCTACTGATTCTAAAATAACAATAGTTCTATAAAACCAGCACAGTAACTAATATTTTTGGCTCTTATGCTCTAGAATTGTGCTCAGCAGGGCTGTGGTTGGCTGAATCGCAGTGCTGAACACATAGGGACTTCTCTCCCTTCCGAAGAAGTCTGGAAGGGGGCATCCAGGAACTGCGAGTAGCTCTGGGACCTCCTTGGTGTCCCAACAGCTCCTTCTGTGATCTAGTCCACCATCATTTGTATATCGGTTCCCTGCTTTCATGTGTGACACCTCATGGTGGCAAAATAGCTGCCCCACCTCCAGGAACTGTGCCTACATTCCAGGAAGGAAATAGGAGGAAATGTGAAAGTCTGTGCTGGTTGGGTCTGTTGGATGTTTTCTTGGGAGCGCAGAAGCTTTCCCAGAACACTCCTCAGAAGACTTCTTACAAGTTGTTGGCCAGAATGGCTCTGTGACCAGGCTGGGGAATGAGTAGTTGTACAGCCTCTCTGAGGAAGGTAGGGGAGAGGGGTTGGGGATGGGTGTTGAGTGAGCCAACCCTCAGCATGCGCTGCCTTGAGCTGAGTCCTTGGCACACTTTTCCTCTTCTAAAGCCTCACAGCTGCCCTGGGAAGTGGGGCCAGTGTTCTGTCGATCCCATTTTGTTTGGAGAAAATGGAATTAAATGGTGTATCTGCTGGAGCAGAGCCGGCAACCCGCGCACCTGGGATTGCTTTCCCGGGAGCCCACGCTCTTCCTTGCCCTGCCTCCTGAGGGCGCTCACCCTGCAGGAGAGGGAGCGGGAGACCGGTGCGTGCTGGTGCTCGGACGAGTGCATCAGCGAGGGTGCTGAGACCGCACAGGGAGCGGAGTGCACACAGCAGTGCAGACCTGGAGGGGTTGAACGCGAGCCCCCGAGAGTTCGTCTGTGGCCAGCAGTGAAGCCAGGCACCATTTATCCCCACTCATCTGAGTCGTTACACGTATTCGGCAGGTGTGTTCTGTGCCTGGCTAGACCCTGGGCTCAGGGAGAAGTAGGAGTCGCAGCCTCACCCTCCAGGGTCCTGGATGACAAGCACACAGTGAGCCACGGCGTGATGTGGCCTCAGGCCATGGGGCTCACTGGGCGGGGGAGGCTCCCCGAGGCGGGCACCTGTGTGAAAGAAATAGCGCCCTCCCGCATCTGTTTCCCCTTTTTTTCGGGGACTCACAAGCAGGCCAGTGTCCCATCAGAGGCAGCCTGGGGCTGTAACGTCACCTGGCATGATTCCTCCTGCTGGGGTTCTGTGTCACCTTTTCCCTGGCAGTGCTGGCTCCCATGGAGGCAGGTGCTCCCCCCTCCCCCACGGCCACGCTCACCATGGGAGGAGGGCGGGAGTCCCTGACCCAGGTTTGGGCCGTTCGCAGGTGTCCCGGAGCCCTACCCTCTGCTTCCCTCCCTGCAGGTCTTGGAGATGCACAAGACCCCCACCCCGGCCTCCTCTCTTGGGTCTCGCACACAGCCCCCTGCGCCCTCCTCTTCCTGCCTCTCGGCCTCCTTCTCAGCACATTGCAAGGCTCACCCTTCTCCTCCTAGCCTCTGGCTGGGGATGCAGGCCCATCCTCTCCCCACTGCGTGCCCTCCCCCAGACCCAGAGCCTTGCAGCACCTGGAGGGCCATGAGTCAAGTCTCTAACCCCACTCATTCATTCTAAAAAGTGCATTGAGCTCCTGTGATGTACCAGGCCCTGTTCACCCCAGTGGCAAACTGTGAGGAACAAGACAGATCCTGCCTCGAGGGGCGTCCGTTCCAACAGGAAAGATGGCTGGAAACGAAGCAAATAGACAAAATAATCACAGGCTGCAAAAAGTGTGACAAATAAAGCAAACCAGGAGCTGAGGCAAAGAAAGTAGGGGTGCTGGAGCCTGAGGAAGGTGAGGGCATCAGCCATCTGGCGGGAAGGTGCTCCCGGAGGAGGGAACAGTGAGTGCAAAGGTTCTGAGGCAGGCACATGGTTAGCGTGGTCAAGGAATGGTGGGGGGCTAGCTGGAGCAGCGTGAGCAGGGGGGAGAGAAGAAGAGTCTGAGGTCAGAGAGGTGATTGGGGGCAGAGCCCAGGGGGTTTGTGAGCCCTGAAGGGTCTTGAGCAGCGGTGTGACATGATCCAGCTTGGTTTCTTCGGGGTCTCCCTGGCTGCCCATGGAGAGAGACTGGGGCTGGGGGGCATGGGCAGCCACGGGAGAGCAGTCAGGAGGAGTTTACCACGAGTTGGGAGCTGGTCTTGGAGACGTAGCTGCACAGGACGTGGGGAGAAGCAGCTGGGCTCTGGATCACTTTGGATTCTGGACCAGCTGCATGTGGGGTGGGACCGACAAGAGGTGTGGGGAGGGATGCTGTTGTTGGTGGCCTTTGTGCCGGGAAGGCTGGGGGACGCTGGAGTGACCAGGGGCTCAGCAGTGGGCAGCCTCGATGGGCCTCTTGCCCATCCCCTTGGCGGCTAGATGGTCCCCCGTGTGCTTCGTCATCAGAGCGTGGAGAGGATCGCACAGGAGTGCAGGTGGAGGTGGGGGTGGGGAAGGGCCGTGGAGCCCCCTTCATGGGCGGGCGGGCAGGTAGGGAAGTTACTGTGTGAGACCGGGGCAAACCTTCGCAGGGGAGGGGGTCCACACGAACACAGAAAGTCGGGGCAGGAGCCACAGATGCCCCTGACACCCCAGAGGGGACAAGACGGTTCAGCCTGGGGACCCATGGGGGCGGCCGGTGAGGCACCCCTCCTTTTAAAGATGAGTAAGAGGTTCCCAGACAGAAAAGGATGAACCCCTTTTTCTTTCCTCTCCCCTCCCCACCCCCCCACCCTTGACCCTTGGCTTGTGGCCCAAGTCGCTGCCCAGCAGGAGTTGAGCTGTATTTCTGTCTGTCCCTCCACAGTTAATCAGGGTCCCAAATACCTATCGGTGCCTTGCCCCACACTTGTCTGCTTGGGGGGGGGTCTCATGACCCCCTTTCTAGGTGGGAAACCTAAGGCTCACAGAGGTTAAGTGACTCTGTGGGTCGCACAGGCGTTCAGGCTTTGGGTTACCGCTGTCCCCTCCCCTTGCCCCACCCAGGGGGCAGGACCACATCCTCTGCAGGGAGCCAGCCCCCATGAGGCCCTCTGGGTGTAGAGCTTGGGGATCAGGCTGCTGGGAGGTGGACGCGGCCACAGGGGCATCGCCATCTGTCCCGTGGTATCAGGTGACTCTGGAAAAGGGTCCTGGTCTTCCACTTATAAGCTGTGTGACTTTGGGCCAGTTACTCACCCTCTCTGAGGGTCAGTGCCTCATCCACAAAACAGGACAAGTGCCACCTACTGAGGTCATGTTCGAGAGGCCCGTGTGCGTTCGCCTTCCCCTTTCCTCCATGATTTGTGCTCATGGTGACTGTTACTAACCTCAGAGGGCAGGACCCCACACCAGGCAGCCTCCTTGGGTTGATCCCACAACAGTCCATGAGGTATGTGCTCTTATCACTCGAAGGAGGAAGAAACCAAGGCTCAGAGAGGTGAAGTCACTTGTCCAGGATCACACAGCTGGGGGAGGGGTGGAGCCAGGATTTGGTCCCTACAGTGTGGTTCCCTTTGTCACTGTGACTGTCCCCTCTCTGGCCACAGCTCAGAGGTCGGCCGTGACAGGCGGTGGGCCCTTCTCAATAAGCAGGGCTGAGTCGGGAGGGCCATCCGAACCCCCGAGGGCATAGCCCCTCACTCCTCAGGGAGACCCTTCTCGCTGCAGGGGCCAGGACCCCCCCTGCCCCAGCTCAGCCTGTGCCTTCTCTCACTAGGTCCATGATTACCTTCGGAGCAAGCTCTGTTCCCTGTATGAGAACGACTGCATTTTCGACAAGTTTGAATGTGCCTGGAACGGGAGCGACAGGTAACCCCCAGACCTGGGACCGAGGCCTCTCGCTGGGCAGGGCCTGGGCTGCTGACCTGGCATCGTGCGAATGTGCCGTTCGTGAGCCTTGCTGAATGACGGTGTCGGAGGGGGGCCCACAGCTTCTTGCGGCGCCCAGAGCCCTCGGCCCTCCCACGCTGGGGCAGGATAGGACGCTGCTGTCCATGACTACACCCACCTCCACCCTGAGCCCCGGTCTCCGTAGTGGAAACTGTCCGTCTGGGTCCCTAGCCGCACGGCCACTTCCCCAAGTTGTCGGGACTGAGGGCTGTACCTCCCTGGGGCGGAGAGCTTCAGCCAGTGGCGTGAACCCTACCCCCACCCCGCATCAGAGCTGCACCCGCCTCTTTCTGGCGGCTCCCCTAGGTCAGGCCCTCTGGGGCTGTGGGGGGGGGCACATTCCCGCTCCGCACCTCTGGGGCTGGCAGGGGTTCCCCAGGTCCAGCCACATCTCACAGCCCCACCCACCCAGGAAGTGGCCTGATGTGAGCTCCTGATTCCCCATTGCTGGCTCAGCCCCGGGCAGGTGTGGATAGGAAGGGCTACGCTGAGACCATAGGGTGGGGGTGCGGAGGAGGGCCCAGAAACCACAGGGACGGGCCGGGAGGGAGCCACCTGCACACAGGCTGGCCCCACGTGGGGCTGGGCCACTGTGTCTGGGGGTAGGGATCCCCTAGAGCTGCTGCTGACATCCTGGGGCTCCCCTGGCCCATGGGGGTCTCTGAGCAGGGCAATGCTCTCCATCAGACACCAGCACGCTGATCACAGGATTTCTGTCCAATAACACTTAGAAAACCAGGGTGGAAGCCCTGCCTTGAGACCAGGCTGACACAGAGGGTCAGAAGGGACACACAGCATTCCCTCCAGGTGCCTGCACTCAGGCTGACCCCAGACACCCCCAGTGAGGACAGGGCTTCTCAAATACCCCTGAGCTGCAGACCCTGACACATTGGGGGCTCCCGAGTGAGCACCAGCAGTGGCTTTTGGGGTGGGGGGTCCATTAGAATCTCAGGAGAGAGACTTACTGCTGGCTAAAAGGGGATTCCAACACTACAGGGTGGGGGTCTCCACGGGCGGTGACTGTTGCACGCCCTTCCTCCACATCACCACCAGGGGGCACTTGTGAACAGCCCATGCCTGGCTCCCAAGAGACGAGCCACCAAGCTTGTCCTGGTTGGTGCCCAGCCTGGAGCTCAGCTCTGTTCCCAGTGCCTCTCACGCCACTTCCTGCCATGCACTTTACATGGCAGCCACCCCCATCCCTGGGGGTCCTGCCACTCCCCTTAGTGGTTCCCCTTCACAACCAGCTCTGCTCCCGTACCCTGAAATCCTGGCTGCATTGCACCTGGCTCACTCCTGCTGTCACCTCAGATTACTGACTCAACTGAAGGCTGTGTCTTCCAGGAAGCCCTCAGGGCACTCTCCATCTTGCTTCTCCCCTCCCCCCGCCCCCCTGCCCAACCTCCTGAATCTTCCATCTATGTCTTGGCATTTATCACATTTTCTCCTTGCCTCCGCTTGCCTTCCCTGTTGGATGGGGTGCCCTTGGGGGGTGTGACTGGGGCCCAGCCCATCCTGAGCTGCTCCTTCGGGGCCTCAGGAGTGTCTAGTCAGTGGCTATTAATGTTCCCGAAGGCACAGGGGTGGGCCACCTTCCACTTCATCCTGAACACCTCCTCCAGGAAGCTCTCCTTGATCTGTTCTGCCTGGGACAAAGAGATTTGTGTCAACCAGGCATCTTCCAGTTGCAGAAAGTCAGACAAGCCTAAGCTTGTTCTGGGCAGGTACAGGCAAGGCTGCCCCAGGGCTCAGGTGTTCCCTGGGGCCATTGCTTTCTCTGTTCCCATCTCTGCGCCTCCCTGCTTCTCCTTACACACTAGCCTCATCCTGTCCTGCAGCTCCCGTCGCCGCTGGGGAATACGCTCCTAAATAGTTCCCCTGGCATTGACCTCACCACCCACAACCCTCCCCGCATCTATGGGAAGGTCTCTTGGAAGGTCGGATTGGCTTCCTGTTACATGCTTACTTTTTGAGCCAGTCAGCCTGGACACGATTATTGGATACCTCGCTTGGCCAGCAGGGGGCGCATAGAGCCCGGAGCTCGACAGTCCCTCAGCTGTGCCCAGTGCAAAGAGCCCTGGGGACAAGAGCGGTGACTGAAGTCCCCCCCGTGCAGATGAAGAAAATGAGGCGAGCAGAGGTGAAGCAACCTGCCTAGACACAGTCCAGGGGCAGGGGCTTTTCTCTGTTAAGGGAACCTTCTGGAATGTAAGCAGTGGGCCATTCTGTCTGGGCATGGTTTGCAGGGAGCTGGGACCTGGTGCTCTGAGATGAGAGACCCTCCTCCTTGCAGGTGGGGAGGGGGCTCCCTCTTCCGCCCAATTTTGTGGGTTGCCAGTGACTTTAGTGACCTCACTCGGCCTTCCCCTTGGTGGATCAGAAGCCGGGGTAGGGGATTGGGGGCGGCTGCCTTCCTCTTTTCTCTGCCTTCCTGGCCTGGAGGTGGGGGGGCTCCAGCAGGACCCTTCCCTGAGAATCATTCCTCATTCACTCTTTCCTTCCACTCCCCTAGTTGGGGCGTCCTGTCTCAGACCAAGCCGGGGCTTCAGGCCAGGGGAATGATTAGAAGCAAGAAATACCTCTTGGAGTTTCCTGAGCCCCACACTGCCCCGTTTTACCAAGAATCCCATGCCGTGCTCACCAGGAGTTGGGGTTCCTCGTTACCCCCATTTTATTGGTGGGAAAACCTGCATGGAGGTGGGGGGAGCATGTTAAGGGCAGAGCTAGAATTTGGACCCAGGGGGTGCTGGCCCGAGCACCTGCCCACAATACCTGGGTTCGGGGCGTGCCTTTGCCTTTTAGGCCCAAGTAAAGCAGGTGGAGAGAGAAAGGCCTCTGACCCCATTTTTTACGGTGAGGCCAGTCACCAGCCCCAGACCGCCCAGCGCCTGGGGCTGCCCCACCGCATTCCTGACCCCAGTCTGAGCTCCGCAGCAGCTGCTCTGGGCCCAGGGAGGGGAGGCCTTCGCCCCATGGGGATCTCAGACTCGCCATCCAGCGTGGGTGTTGGAAACCACAGCTGCGCCCTGGCCCCAGGCTCCTGAGTCTACCCCCGAGGAGGGCTGCTGTGGGTTTTGTGAGCACCCTGGGTGGGTCTGCGGCCAACAGGTGGCCCCTCTCGTCTGCAGGCTCCGGGAGTGACCACCAAATAGGGCAGCCTGGTGCAGGGCGGAGGTCACAGGGTGAGGCCAGACAAAGGAGGGGGTGCCACAGCTGCTCGCCCTGGGGGAAGGGGAGAGCCCCCTTTGTCTTGCTGGCATCTCAGCAATGTCCTCTGAGTCCCAGGGCCGGGCATGGTGGGTGATGAGGAGGGAGCGAGAGCAGGAATCACCTTCTAATAAAGCTTGCGGCCAAGGGCACCTGGGCTCATCAGCACGGCCTACCTGTGCATTTGCTGTGGGCTCCTGGCAGGTGGGGGCCTTCCCCGTGGCCCAGCCCGGCCCAGCCTCTGACACCAGGGGGCAGCTGCTGTGCAAGTGAGGGGGGAATCTGGCAGGGCCACAGGCGGGTCCCTCCGACTCCGCCCTTGTCTGCTGAGCCAGACAGGCCTGATGCGTTGCTGTCCTGGGTCAGGAGGTCAGAGTTCATCCCAGCTGGTGACCCCTGAGGTCTGAGCATCCCCCTCTGCAGGGCACGTGGCACAGTCTGCCCTTAACATGCTTCCTGTCTGTGCAGGTATGAGCCTGGGATCTGCAGATTCCAGTCTTGGGACCCCCAAGAGCACAGGGCACCAGGGACACAGCAGAGATGGGACCCGGTGCCTACGTGGCAGGACCCTGTGGTTTGCAGGGCACAGACTAGAGCAAAGCTCAGAGGGAAGCCCTGGGTAGGAGGGGAGTGGCTGGGGGCCCATCAGGGGAGGGGTCTGGGGATGGCCTCCTGGAGGAGGTGCCCTCAAGTCTCAAGAAACCAGTAGGAATTTGCCCACAGAGGGTGGAAGGGCACTGGGGCATAGGGAACAGCATGGCAGAAGCCTCAGGAAAGAAGTGGCCATAGCTGATGTTGAGGGCCAATGGATGTGGCCATAGCTCAGTGCTGAGGGCAGAGGTTAAGTCTCAGGGTGAGTAAGTGCTCTTGGGCCTCCCTGGGGTGGGTGCCGTGAGAGAGTCCAGCATGGGGGATAATGGGCTTGGGGGTCAGAAGCAGGGGGACCAGTGAGCAGGCTGTTGTAGCCGTCCCTTGGGGCCAGAGACGAGAGTGATGTGTGTGGTGAAGGTAGAGGAGAAGGGCTGGAGTCAAACCACCCTCAGGGTATCTGAGGATGGACAAGAGCTGGGTCGCGTACACCCTCGGGGGTGGCCCCGGGGGCCAGGGTTTCCCATCCACTGTCCACCACAGGGACCCGGGTGGAGCTTTCGAGAAAACATACCTCCTTTTCTGGAAAGCAAGAGATGTGTGCAGAAACTCCCCAGTGGGGTCGTCACCTCCCGGGCTGCATGAGGATCTGTCCCTGAATGTCCACTCATTATTGCAAGACTTAACCAACGAGCCCCCTGCAGCCCCCCTGCCCGTCAGCCTTGGGACTCTGGCACTGGGCCGCAGGGTGGCCCCTCTTGCCCCTCAGCCTTGGTGGCAATGCTGACATCATCTGGTCCTGGTCCCCAGCTCTGTCCTCCGGCATGGGCCTTCTAAAGCCCCGAACACGGGCACTCCACGGGCTGGGCCCCGGGAGCCCCCTGGAGACTGGCGTCCCTAGGTCTCCAGTGGGTTCCCTGGGGCCTGATGTGGGGCCTGTCTTTCTGCAGGAGAACAGCTCTGGGTCTCTGACCTGTTGTCCACTGTCCCCTTCCCGCGGCCTGGTCTCAGTTCTGAGCTGCAGCTCGAGGGAGGGTACTCGGGTGATGGCCTGGCCCGGCCGAGGGTCCCACGCTGGACTGTCTGCTGTTGGCTGCGGTGGCCAGACGCCTGGATTCCAAGGGCTGCCACTGGCCCGCACACCAGCTCTGAGGGCAGCCCTGTGACAAGCCCTGTGGGCTTGGCTTCCAGTGACGAAGTCACCAGCCCACTCCCCGTTCTCACACGGGGGGATCCGTGCTACGCAGGAGAGGCCTCACGGGTCATAACCTGGGGGGACGTTCGAGCCAACCCGGCCGTCCTCGGGACAAGCTGATGTGTGAGGAGAGGGGCTTCTTCTGGAAGGTGGGAGCGGGAAGGCCTCTCCCCACCCGCCCCCACACAGCGCAGCCCTGCACCTCCCCACGAGCCACGTCTTTGTCTGTACAAGCAATGGGTTTGTTCCCACAGATTAAGGCTATAGAGACGGAGTTAGGGAACAGAAGAGAGTAGAGCCAGCCTGCCTTCCCCGCCAGAGATGCCACAGACCTCCAGAAAAGGCCGAACTGCCTGGCTGCACCCCTCCCCCAGGCACAGCTGCAGAGACGCCCCTCCTCCCGCCCCGCCCTGTCCCAGGTCAGGTGCAGAGCGGGGATGGGTGAGGCGGCCTCCTGCTTTCCTAGGACGCCCCCTGGGGGTCTTTGTGAAGGCCTGTGACCCTTCTGCTGCATTCACTCACTCATACCCCTAGAGCACCCACGGGGTGCCCTGAACTTGCAGGTGCCACAGTGAACAAGAGAAGCTTCTGGCCCTTCCCTCCCTACGGTTCACAGAGCATCTACGGCCTTCTCCCCGAGCACCGGGCCAGGGCGCTCGGCTTGGCCCCGTTCTGTTTGGCTGCGGCTGCGGGTCAGCATTTGCTCCCCCAGTGAGGCCAAGCCAGGCCTTGGGGCTCAGACGAGACACGCCTGCCCCAGGAGCCCCCACCGAGTGGTAGGGACAGGCCCCCCAGACGCTTGCCCATGGTGGCTAGCACCGTGAGGCGTCCCCCGCCTGCCCCTCTGGCTCCCGACCACCAGGGGCTGGCTCGGCCGCCGTGCCCTCTGGCTTGTGGCCAGCTTTAACCAGTGGGGACACCAGAAGGAGGTCTGAGGGCAGCAGAGAGAGACGGGGTATTTGTCCCATGTCCCTCCTTGTCCTCTGAGCCAACTGTGTCCCTGTGGGCACAGGTCTGGTCAGCTACCTTCTTCACACAGATCTGTCTCTCTGTCTGTCAGCCTTCCTCCCCTCACCCCTCAGGCCTGGGGGGATGTTGCAGCCCCAGGGCTCGGCACTTTCCCTGTGGTTCCTTTAGAACCTTCCAGAACATTTGTGCATAGCCTCTTTATGGAGCTCTTCTCCAGTCACCCACTTGGCATGTGCCCTCTGTCCTCTGCTGGGGTCCAGGTGACCCCCGCCTGGGTCTGCCTGGACACCCCAGGAACATCGCAGAAGAACCGCTTTTTGGAGGAGGTGTTCCACCCCCACTGCCCTCAAGCACCCTCCCTCGCCCACTGATCTTGCAACACAAGGTCTGACAAAGCAGTTTGGGTGGCAGGGGAGGGGACACCAGAGGGTGGCACTGCGGATTGTGGACTCTGGCACAAAGCCTCGCCTTGTGGGTGCGGGCCGTCTCCAGAAACCACACGCGCAGGGCGGACAGGGGAGGCCCCGAAGCCGTTCGTGGGTGGGAACCCAAAGCCTCTACTTCCCTCCAAGGAACTATTGGCCCAGACTCGCCAGGCCCCGAGAACCCGAGGTCCTTCCTGGGAAGGATCGGAACTCCGAGGGGCCGCCTTCTCAGTGAGAAAGGAGACAGACGGTTGTCAGCCCAGCCCCTGCCCTCTGCCGGGGAGATTGCTCCCCTCGGGCAGGTCCAGGAGCCAGGCCGCTGTGAGGCCTCCCCACCATCTAGAAGGGGCTGACATTGAGAGATGGCCCACCGGCTCTGGTAGAGATGCTGCGGGGAGGGAGGGCCCTGCATCTACTCTCCCCGTGTCTGCTTACCAGCCCACGTTCTCCCACGGAAGGGAACACGTTACAAGGAGACATGTCACTTTCAGGCTGTGACTCGCCATCATCCAGGGCCCCCGAACCCCTCCGTGAGCGTCTGACCTCCCAAGCCCAGGTGCCTGATACGACAACGTCTCCTGGTCTGTCCGGGGGGACGTCTGCCTCTGGCATCTCCTGCTCGTCTGCATTGTTCCCCTGACTTGGGCGATCTTGAAGACATGGCCCATGTGCATAACCCTTGTAAACTAGGGGTCCACGGGGCTCTGTCTCGGAGCAGTGATGCCCCCAAGAAACACGCTCAGCTTCCCAAGGGAGGAAAGGAATTCCAATCTGTACACACCCCCCTGAAGAACGTTGAGGGGAACCTCATTTCCTGGAATCCCCTCCCTCCTCCTTATTTTGCCCCCCTCTCCCTGCCTGGCTGCTCCAGGGCCTCTCCTGAGCCAAACCCCAAAACCCCTTCTCTAGGCCCAGGCCCCATAGCTGCATCCTCGCTGTCCCAGCAGACTGACACGGCCTTTCTCCCACGCCCCAGGAACCCCTTCTCCTTGGGGGAGGTGGGGGGAAGAGAAACACAGTGGATCACGAATGTCAGATTCTCTAGCAGGACAGGGAAGGGCATGAACACCTGCCCAGCACTGGTGTGCAAAGAGCACTTAGTCTTAACTCAGAACAGGAGGGTGCCGGGTGCCTGCGGTGAAGGGTGCGGCGGCTGGGGTCGGGGCCAGCCCTGGGTCGGCCTTGGAGTCTGCAGTTGGGCCGGTGGCTTCTGTGTTGACTTGCCCTCTGCTGGTGCCTAGTCTCTCTGGAAGGCCAGGCCTCTCCTGGAGGCAAGGGAGAGTGCGGGAGAATTTTCTCCGTGGTGTCTGGGGCAGAGCATTAAGGGGTCTTAGGGGAGCCCGCGTGTGGATGGCAGCTGAGCTGTGAGGGAGGACCAGAGCCCAAGAGGAGGGAAGGTGGGGACCGGACCGTCTCTTCCCCTGGGGGAGGGGGTGGCCCTGCAGCCCAGGGTTTGTCCCCGGGGATGTGGAACATCGCCACTGGCCTCCTCCCCACCTGACGTCTCTCCTCCTCCCGCCAGCGTCATCATGACCGGGGCCTACAACAACTTCTTCCGCATGTTTGACCGGAACACCAAGCGTGACGTGACCCTGGAGGCGTCGAGGGAGAGCAGCAAGCCCCGGGCCGTGCTCAAGCCGCGGCGCGTGTGCGTGGGCGGCAAGCGCAGGCGGGATGACATCAGTGTGGACAGCCTGGACTTCACCAAGAAGATCCTGCACACGGCCTGGCACCCGGCCGAGAACATCATTGCCATCGCGGCCACCAACAACCTGTACATCTTCCAGGACAAGGTGAACTCCGAGATGCACTAGGTGCGCGTGGAGCCCCGTCCCGGACACGAGCAGCGCAGCCCGGAGCGGCCCTGTCCCTCCGGCCCAGGCGGCCTCTGCTGGCCACACTCTCTGTTTGAAGACAGGAGGCAGGAGGGCTCACAGCCACAGACCGTGAAATGGACGTGATCGTGGCCTTGGGGTCCAGGCCCTTCATTCCCGTACTTAACCGTGAGCTGCCTGTTCCACGATTAGGACTTAGACATCTCTGGGTTCATGCTTGTCTTCTTCCAGCAGCAACTTTCAGGGGAAGTGGGCGCCCTGGGAACCACCGCCCCCAGGCCCCAGATCAGGGCTCTGGGGACAGAGGACAGACTCAAACAAGCCAGCCAGGGATTCTTTTGGTTATCAATGGAGCAATTTCCACTGTCTCAGAGCCGAGGGTCTTCCCTTGGCCTTTTGGATCGTGAATTCATGCTGAGAATTGGCAGGTGCAAGCTCCTCTTTTAGTGTCTTTCAATACCCCAGGTCCGGCGTTTCCTGAGAGGAAAGGGGGCACTGAAACCCGCCCGTGTGTGTGTGCCTGTTCTTCTCACCACGTACCCAGCCTTTGCTGAGCGTGGGCCGGGGGCCAGGCACAGTACTCGGCCCGTTAGGTGCGTGGATTCAGTCCCCGCTCCGTGGGGCTCTCCTGTCCTGCTTCACGGTCACCGGGCACCTCGTGGGAACTCACATGGGCCCTGTCCGTGACCCTGTAAGGTGGGTGTCCGTTCACTTACTCCATAAACACCAGCCCCTCACTGAGTGCCAGGCTCTGTGCCAGGCGCCAGGGACGAAAGGTGGAATAATTACCATCCCCACTATACACACGAGGCAGCGGGCCCCGACAGAACGAACAGTTTGTCTAAGGCACGCAGCGACCAAGTGGTGGAGTCAGGAATCCCGAGCACTGGGTGCTTTCTGAGCCACCACGTTGGCAGCTCGCATTAAAGCAGCGTTCTTGCCTGGAAGGTTCTGGAAATACCTCTTCATCTTGGGAGGTGGGCGATGACGAGGGTCCGGGGCGACCCGAGCCGCAGCACGGAGAATGGAGAAGACCCCGGTGGTGCCAAGCTCTGTGTGGTGACTTCAGACCCCCACCCTCTTGGGGGCGCCTCGCTGCACCCACATCTGTGCCCCAGCCCCTTGTTCAGGTGCACTGAGCTGCCTCCAGGTGGAAATTGCATGTTATGACCATTTCAAGATACATTTTCTTTAATGACCCGGCCTCGGAGGACTCTTTCCTGAGGGCCTCAGAGAACGCCTGTCTCCGCAGCACCTGCTCCTACCACGTGGTGGTGGAGACCATGTCCCCCACCCCCCACTCATCTTCTCTGCCTACAATTACAGCGAACCACTGGCTGTGCGTGGGATTCAGAGAACAGAGTGCAGAGGCCGAAGCCAACATTTTTTTTTTACAAGAAGTAACCCAACCCAGGAAACAGACCCACCCGAGATTTTTCTCAGTGGATAATGGTATACCTTTGTGTGTGTCAAAGCACAAAACGCATGTGCATTCACTTCTGGCCATATGATATTTACACAAGGAAATGAGTCCGTTGTTTCGTTTTGGGTTTTTTTGTTTTTTAAATCAACATGAATGAAGAATGTTTGTTTATATATCACTGTAAAATCCAGGTGACCTGGACAGTATTATATGTACATATCTATTCTAATTAAAATTAACAATCACAGGATTGGATTCCTTTTTTTTCCCCCTTTGTAAAGAGGTTCAAGAATGTGGTACCTTGTATAGAAAACTTGTTGAAGCCAAAATCCAGCTCTGAGGGCCTTACACAATTACGCGGATATTTGGCACAATCCGTTTCCCTTTGTGATTCAGACGCTAAGAGGAGACTTGCTTTTGCAGTTGGAGGTTACTGTCAGATGGTAGATTTCACATTTACCTTCTACAGAGTAACAACCCTTAACACTGCATTCAAAGGGAGGTCTTAATACAGTTCCTGGTTCTTTACTCCTGTTTTAAACTTTGGATACCAAGCCAAAAAGGAAAAGAAAGAAAGAAAATTGATCTTAGAGGAAAAGCATGTCTTCAGATCCCTGGAAAGTCGTGATGTCCAAAGCAAGTTGTGAATAATGACACATGTTGGGAGGGGGGGCAAGACTAGACGTATGTGGCAGACGGGCCAGTAAAATAGTCACAAACTCTGCTTCTTACTGTTTAAATTTTCTGCTCTTCTTGAATGTATGAGCGTTCACATAGTCATTGTGAAGTTGTTGGGTTGTTCTGTTTTTATTCTAATACTCTGAGGACTGAGCTCTTGGTGGCGTCGGGTATGTGGTGGTAGGTAGACAGACCTGATCACTTTGGATTCCGTAGCTCATGGGTGCATTCTGGTTTTCTTCGGTATCTCAGATTATTCAACTGTTGAATAAAATTATAAATATGTTAATACCAGCTTTTTCCAATAAAATAACAAATGTTACATCGAACATGAGACTCAGAATGCCGTTTGTTTCTAACGAGGCCAAACCCAGGGCAGTGGGTGCTGGTTCACCTCAAGGCTCTGCGACCTCTAGCTCTTAATGAAGTTTTTAACCTTTACGAGCTCTGATTTCATCACTGGAGAAATGGAGCTAACCTCGTGAACTGGATAGAGCCTGCAAAGCATAGCGTCTGGCACATAAGCTCTCAGTAACTGACCGTTGTTTTGCCCTTTGTTTTGTTTTGAAGCAGGTGCGCATAGCCCACCGTGATTTCCAGTGTTCTCACACTCTGTCATGACCTTTCTCACCACTTCAGCATGAGGGTATGGTACAGATGAGGACATGGAGGTCCAGAGAGGTTAAGGAAGTAGCTCGACATCACACAGCCAGCATGTGTTGGAGCGGGTTTCAAGCCGCTGACCCACACACTCGTCTGGGCTCCATGTTATCCCTTTTGCAGGGGAAGAGGGGAATCCTGCTGTTATACCCACTGTACAGATGGAGAAACGGGCTCAGAGAGGTGAAGTGATTTAACCTGCGCCCAAATTCACAGATCCAAGGAGGGGTGGAGTCTGGATTCAAACTCAGATGGAGCACCCGCCAGCCACGTGGCGGGTGCTCAGAGGATGGTCAGGGACATCATGGCCTCAGCTCCACCAAATCCAGCTGCAACCAGCGCTGACTAAGCACCAGCTCGGGGCTGTGCACGTGTGACCTTAAGATGAGAAGTTATCCCGGGTCATCAGGCGGCACCCATCTGTCACATGAGTCCTTGTCAGCAGAGAACCTCAGAGGGAGAGGAGGCAAGAGACGGAAGGTCAGATGTGGCAGGAGGGTCCCACCTGCCATTTTTGGTTCTGAAGATGGGGGAGGGGGCAGTCCACAGGCCCAGGAATGTGGGCACCCCGATTTATTCCTCACTGACTCCCATAACAACTCTGAAATGCTCATCCTTACAGTCTTGATTTCCCAGAGGAGTTATTGGAAGCCCAGGAAGTTTAGGGCACCTGCCCAAGGCTCACCGCCCACATGGTAATGACCATGCTAGTGACCACTGAGGGCCACCAGCTCAGCCCTTTGCAGTCATTATTTCATGCCATGGTAGACCACGTGTACCATTACTGCTCCTGCTCTAGAGATGAGGAACTCGAGGCTCAGAGACGTTAGAGAACTTGCCCAGGACCACACAGTAAAGGCAGAGCTGAGACTTGTGTCCTGTGCAGTCGTGGGTTCTGGAGCTGGGGTCTGACCTTAATCCTGTCTTGACCTCAGTGCCCAGTTCTTCCAGCATCGACACCCCTGGGGCAAAGAGTGGCCAACCACGTGCAGCCTGCAAAATCGAGAGACAGCTTTATGATTTCTATTGGTACTAGATTCCTTATTTACGTGCCCCCCAAAGTTGCCGCATGGGAACTTCTGCTGCTTTTCGCCGAAAGGGGGCCCTCTTGCCGAAATTCACACAGCCTCCTCGTTTTAACCTAAACGTGAAGTCCTCCAGGTTGGAAAGTGCCTGGGGAAGGTGAGTCCAGGGGTCAGAGCAGCTGTAAGAGCTGTATTGGGGGGAGGTCAGGGGGGAACACCGCTGTGGTCAGGGGTCTGCTGGGCACTTCCTTGTTCATCTTCTGCAATCCTGAGAGGGATCCCTGAGGAAGTGAGGCTCAGGCATCTGACATGTAACTGGTGGCTGGTGGGACAGAGATTTGGGTGGTGCTCAGACCCCTCCTCAAGCAGGACAACAGGGAGTCTCTGACCAGGAGGACAGATGATCTTGGCAGGAGCGGGGGCTCAATGAGAGGGGACTGGGGGCCAGTGTAGGTGACCCCATGGCATCTTTTCAATTTAGCTCAGCTCTGGGCTGACTTGGAACATTGCTGTGGCCCTATGGGCAGAAAAACTGCACTTGCCTTAAGCTTCATTAAAGTAAACTGAGGCAGGAGTGCTCAAAACGTCTAGAAAAATACAACTGATTCAAGTAAGGAAAAAATGTGGGGCCACCCCCCCTTGGCTGGCAAATCCAATAGCCTAGAGGTCTTCACGACAACATTCAAAGGCACCTGGGGACTTTTAAGGGGATTGGGGGCGAGATTCTGGAAGAGACAGGGCTGCTGGCCTGGGGATATGCCGGGGGCGCAGTTATAGGAGACCTGGGTTCAATCCCAGGTTTAATTGCAGCCTCGTCACTGACCAGCATATAGGTTGTATCTGTTATCTACTGCTGCCTAACAAATGGCCCCCCAGTGTAGAAGTCTGAAACAATGGCATTTATGGTCTCACACGGTTTCTGAAAGTCGGGAATCGGACATCGGTGAGCTGGGTGTTTCTGGCTCAGGGTGTCCTTCATCTGTGAAGAACGGACTGGGGCAGAGGTTCTGTTTCCAGGCTCACTTACACGGCTTGAGGCTTTGGTTCCTTGCCGCGTGGGCTGTTCCCAGCATAGCCTACTCACCCGGGGTGACCGATCTAAGAGAGAGACAGTGCCCAAGCCGAAAGCCACAGTCTTTCTGTAATCTCCGAGGTGCTACCTTGGATTGGTCACATAGCCTGATCCTGGGGCCATGGGGCAAGAAGCTGCAGCAGGTGGTGGGGGTCACTGGGGGCCATCTGGAGACTGCCACAGGGGTCCCAGCAAGCCACTGCACTTCTCTGAGCCCAGGGTTTGTTTACAAAGCAGTGACAATAACATCGACCACATTGAGGGGTTTTCGAGAGACTCAGGGGTGCTGATGTCCACAAAGCCACTGTCATGGCATCTGGCATGTGGGAGGTGCCGTGTCTCTGTAGAGACCTAGTCAGCCGTCCCCCGACCCCTTGCCCTGGGCCCAAGTGCCCTCCTTGGGAGGGCTGACATCCCGAGGGCTCTTCCAGCTCTGAGGAGACTGGGAGGCAGGGGGTGAGCTGATCCCCTCACCGCTGGTCTCCCGGTGGCTCTCAGGGTCAGGTGCCCCTTAGCCTCACCCAGGGGCTCTCCCAAACCCCATGGCCCAGCCATCAGCATCTCAGACTGGGATTCATTCAGCATAGGAACTTTTTAAAGCTCATCAGAGGTGGGATGTCTGGGTGGTTCAGTGAGCTGGGCGGCCGACTCTGGATTTCAGCTCAGTTGTTACTGCGGGGTCGTGGGATCCAGCCCCATGTCAGGCTCCGTGTGAGCGTGGGGTCTGCTTGTCCCTCTCCCTCTGCTCCTCCCCCTGCTCACTCTCTCTTGCACTCGCTCAGGCTCTCTCGATAGACTAAATTAACAAAATCTTTAAAAAATAATAAAGCTCATCAGAGGACTCCGCCATCCTCAAGAGACGGGTTATTCTGTTAATTAAATAGGAAAACAGTGCCTTTCTGGAGAGCAGGAAAAGCAAACGATCTATATTTTGTTGGGGGGAAGCTAAAAACTGTGTGTGGAACAGTTGATTTTCACCACTTCTGGAAAGAAAGACCCAGCGCCCCAGTCTTCTGTTCTGTTTCTCCCAGACTACTTTTCAGGGCCACCTGCAGAAGGTAACCACGTGAGAAAAACTTGAACAAAGGCTTATCAGCTCTGGGGTGGTTTCCTAGCAACAGAAAAGCTTTTCATGCTTGAAATAATTGCCCAACTTGCAAGTGATTCATTTCAAACAGCCATGTCCCTTTTTTATTTTTTATTATTTTTTTTAAAGATTTTATTTGACAGAGAGAGACACAGCGAGAGAGGGAACACAAGCAGGGGGAGTGGGAGAGGGAGAAGCAGGCTCCCCGCTGAGCAGGGAGCCCGAT